GGGGGCAGGCAGAAGAAAATCATGCTTGAATTGAATTGAATCCATTTCACCCTAAATGTAGAAATTACAGTGCCGTTTGGTTGACTAAGTAAGAATATTAACAACAATAATATAATATATATAGAATGAGGATGCAATAATTGATATTAGTCCCACACGCACGCACGCCTAGAAACGGTTGACTTTTCGTTGGCAACGAAATCAGTAATAACTGTGATCTCGTGATGTATGGATTGAGTCATGTGTGCGTATGGACACTTTTAGGTATGACTAAATGTTATTTAAATTTAAAAATTTAATATAATTTGTTAACATAATAATAAAGTGGTTTAATAAGAATCATTAGATCAATATCAAATTCTAATGTTTGATGGGACCTACAACCAATCCAAATGTCACAGTGAATTAAGTCAGTAAATTAGATCAAATTTTTAGATCTCAATAATATTGCTCTTTAGAAATTATATATATATATATTTTTTTTTTTGAAAGAGAAGGGAGAGAAAGAGAAAAAATTTAAACCCTGGGCCCCACAAAATAAAAAATATCATTAGACCAAATTCCGATAATCTTATAATACTTTTAGACATTACTAAATGAAATGTCGGTGATCAAAAAGGTGCAGACCACTGTAGATGCAAATGCCCGATTACCAAACCCCCTTTAATTTCCTGTCCTTTTTGCGTGATGTGAAAACAACAATTAAACAATGATACCACACACGTACCTACCGCTCCTTGAAAAGTCTCAACCAAAGCCCCCGCTCCGGCGGACGCAAAGTTCACTCCATTGTTATACCGATGAAGCCCCGGCTGCAGGAACGGAGGAATCAACGGCAGTTTTGCATACTCCGCTATTATCAGGAAAAAAAAAAAGAAGGAACATTCAAGTGGATAAAAAAGAGGAACACCGAACACCACACATTTGCCTGTAATTAAAAGGCAATATAACACCAAAGTAAAGAAAGTTTTACCGATGAAATCTGAGACCAAACGGCCGTCTGAAAATCTTCCAGTAGGAAACCTAAAGTAGGTTTCTCCGTACGGCCAAAAATTTGATTGATCAAGTGTGGTGGTGTTGATGTAATTGTTGTTGCCGGAATCTAAGAAAGAGTCACCAAATATGAAGAAAAATGGAGGCTTTTCAGCCCGGTGGCATTCACTGAGGCTGCTTGCTGGGGGGATGGTAACTGTACACAGAACCAAGATGATGAAGAGGGAGCATATTGCTGCCATTGTTCCTTTCCTGCCGATCGAGATCTCCACGAAGTCATCTACTTCATGGCGCTATTTATAACTCATCATATTCTTCTATATGGACTGGAGTATTAACACTATTTCATTAGTTTGTTTTTCTTTTGTAATGATCTGATCTGATCAGACCCTCCAAACACGTGGTGGTCCACTTTTTACATTTGACAAAATTTCCACTTTTACCTTCTCAAATTATAACACGATCTCAATTTATCCCATACTCTAAAATCAGAGTTAATTTCATTGAACTCTCAATAGAAAATGTTCATGTGTCGTTAGATTTCAGATCAAATTTAAGTAAGATCATATAATTCAGGTTGTTTTTCATCCATTAATCAAATTTGCGTTTTTTTAACTTTTACAAAAGTTTTATTTATTAACAAAAATACCATCCAAAAATCCTGTAATTCGGTGGGGAGGGGCAACTGACCCAACTCAGTGGTAGTGACTTGTTCGTGGCTGCCGTTGCAACCCAGTGAGCGGCCATGTTCTTGACTCTAGGATTGTAAGAAAATCTAATGTGTAGCAATCTATCATAGTATCTAAACTCTCTGCACTTCACTCTAGCAAATTCACTCTGCTCTCACTAGAATCAGAGGGACCGAAATTCTTGTTGTCAACAAGAAGTTTGTCCTCTTCGTACAAGTCCTTTTCTTATGTAAAGAAACAGAGAGGTGAAGGATCCGGAGAATGAATGAAATATATCATATTCATAACCGCTTTATAATCGAAATAGCTATGAGTTACTGGACGAAGACTCACTCTACCTCAAAAAGAAAAATAGATATCCGAACTTACCTCAATGATGGGATAAACGGGGCATAGTCCTTGCATTAATAAAGAAGAATGATGAGGGCATTTAAGCTTTCATCTGCAACTCTAATCTCTAAAACTTGAAGAAGATTCCAACCCTCCTCATCGTGAATGATGTCGTGATGCTATCATTCAATATCATGGCCGTGTTTGTCTAGGCGTTGTTGGATTTTGACAAATATCAAAGCCACTTTATTGAGGTAAATAAAAATGAGATCTCATATGCCCTGAATTCGGCTATTGTCATTTTCATTACCGACAACCTCATATTGAAAACAATCATCCCAAATGATTGGGGAGAGTGACAATCACACTTGTTAGACCCTTGTTCGTCAGTCAACCTCCTTTTGCCCCTGCGATCCCTCAAAAAATAGCCAACTAAAACAAAAGTTAAGGCCAAGATGTTTCTTCTCTCTTTTATCGTCTTCTCCCTCAGTTCTCTTGGGATACTCTGCAAAAATGATAGCCTAAACACCCGCGGGGTTTCTTCCTTATTAATGCAAGGATTGTGCCCTGTCTATCCTAAAATGAAGGCAAGTATAAATATTCCTTTGTCATTCTGGGATAAGTGAGTTCTAGTCTAGTAGCTCGTAGCCAGCTAGATTATTTGTTTGTTGATTGTAGGAATTTGTTTTCTAGTTTTCAACAAAAATTGTTGCACCCTTACACATTTCCAATAAACATTTAGTTCAAAAAGTAAAGAATAAATTATAAAAACAACCCCTGTTGATTAGTCTAATTACATAAAAACCACCTTTAATCTGACAAAAATTGTCAGGTTTTGTCTAGCAACCGTGTTGATGGAAATTATACTTCTACAGATTTACCCTTCACTTGAACTTTTTTTTATTCATTGATTCCTCATTTTTCTATATTTATAACCTTTATCTCTCTCTTCTTCTTAACTAAAATATCGCCAGCAACCACCAACAACCTCGTAGCACCATCTCCCCGCCATCCACATCTCTCTTTGTCTCACCATGGCCAACCCCACTTCTTCGCCACCACATCCAAAGTAGAAATTGGTCCTTTGAAATTCATCGACCTTAAATTTTCAATCAAATCAGAGTTGAATTTGGAGAGTATTGATTTGCTGAAGTAATCACTTTTTAGGTTTTTCTCTAATGGTACTGACGGTCAGGGTAGTAAATGTAGCTGATATATGAACTATGAGGGAGGTCAATGATATTTTAAATAATAGAGGGGATGTTATTTCAAATAATCTTTTAAGGCCTTCACTAGGGCAGGGTCAAAGGCCCATTAACATGTCCAAGCCGTATGAGCTGTGACTTTTTGGATGGCATAGCCCGGTTTGACCCGAAGCCAAACCTTTGAAACAATTCAATTATTTCGAAATAAGTGGAAGAAGAATTAGATGTTCTAATCCCATCATTATCCACTTGAACAATTTCAACAAAAGCAAATTTTATTCAAGAGCTAATAATTGTTGAGGCCAATTTACTTGGTTTGCAAATTTGTCCAAGTGAGAATCTTATGAGTTTTTACCTTTCATTGTCAAACTTTTTTCATAATTTGTTGTTGCAGTTGGATTTTTGCATCCGTCCTATCAAGCAGATCATTAGTCTTATGCTCTGATTAGTACGATAGAAAAGTAGAAAAATTAAAAAATGAATAAAATATAATGTTTGATAAGAAAGGAAAATATGAATGATGAAAAAGTGGATAAATGAGTTTTTTTTTTCTAACTCACCAAAATCAATCCTTCCAAAATAGGAAAAAAAGTTGATAGAAAGTTAATTATTTGTATTGAAATGTATCTTATTTATCTTTATATCATTTGATATATACATATATTATATATACATTAATTTCATATATAAATATAATAATAAAATATGTATTTATATTTTTAAAAAAAATATTTTTTTTATATTACCAAACACAAAAAAAATTAATTATTTTTATTTTTCATTCATCTTATCAAACGCAAAAAAAAAAAAAGAAATGTATCATTTTTATTTTTCTTTTTTAAAGATAAAAAAAACTATCCCTTTTACTTCTCATCGTTCGGAAGAAATCAGAATTACACCCAATATCAATATCACTTACATTGTCCAAAAAGTTCCCACCAAACTCATATGTCGTGTCATCCACCCCAACCCTCCCATCCCATGATCGTCCTCCTCCTACTCATGGGTCATAGTAGGCAGAGGTAGGTCTGGAAAAGATACCACTGGACCGAAAGTCTTTACGGTGCCCCTAAATAATTATTTGGATCTTTTAATTTGGTTGTGGAGTGGAGTGGAGTGGACATCATAAATTCATCTGTAATTAGTTGAAATGGATGAGTTCAAAATGGAACTAGTCAATGTAAGTGGATCGATCTAATGTCAGTTCTCTTGCGTCATGTCATGTCATATCATGTGGCACAAAAATACTTGCCCCCTTAAAAAGAATATGAATTATGGTATGGCTATGATGATTAAAAATAAAATTAAATAAGAAACAAAATTATTAGAAGATGGTGCTGCTGATTATTGATTAAAACAATATTTTAAATTTGGTCAAAAAATTCGGTTGCCACAACATTATTGACACCTTATTATTAATAATTTGATCTCTCAATTTAATTTCATCGTGACATTACGTATTTTCTAACCTTTTCTATTGGAATAATAATTGCAGCACATGAACCATTGACTTCATTAAAATCGAAGTGAAGTGATGATGAACATGCTAATACTGTATATAACACAATTATTAGCTGTGTTTTACTTGATCTTTCTTCTATATTTCTTTCCCTAATGTCAACTATGTACGGCAACATACATTATCACCTAAACTAAACTAAACTTGATGCATGTGCTTGAGCAGTTGATCCATCATAATTTTAAGATTAAGCGTAAACAGGATGAGACATCAAACAACTTATGAAAAGATAATCGTTTATATTCTGGCGTTATGCTCATTATACAAACTAGTGTTGACAAAAAACAATTACAGATGCATTATGCCGCTGATGAACAAGTCCAACAGCTTCCTGGGCAGCTCGATCTAGATGGAACTGATTAAACACATGCTTACAACATATTTCTTACCTGCAAAACCAAACCACGACAACATACACTAACTGTATTGGTATATTCTAACGTTGCCATTCATTAACCGTACCTTGTTATATGTAAACAGCCATCGAGCACTTCTTCGCAAATGTTTGGGAGCTGATAGGAAAATTATATGCCTGAAAATTTTAATGCGGTTTTGTTTATAAGATTTGTAAACAAAAAGTACGGCTACTAAATTACACAAGATGATGATAGTAATTTTAGGAAGATCATGCGAATCACAATACATACAATATGACCCAGAACCCCTCTCATGCTGGAAATTTCATTGCTGAACGTAAGCTGCCTATAGTCAATATCTATATCACAGTCCATGGCCACCTACAAGAAAATCAAAAAGTAAACAATTACATTAGAGATTCACGATGGCTGCTCCAGTCCGTGGATTAGTTTCTCTAAAATGGATAAGATTGTCTACCACCGCACATCTATCCCATATTCTGCTATAAGCGGGAGACAGTACGAGAAACAGGCACATTAGTGGCATTACAAACCTTTATCTTTGGCAAATTGAAATGAAATACATGCAACCGAGCTGTAATATCACCAAATAGTCTCAATTGAAAAATGCTAGTGTTTGTCATGTCATCTTGCGGTGAAACCCCAGACAGGATTCGGCTAATATTCACGCACTGAAAGAAACCCCTCATTTGCAGGCTTACATTGTTGCTGCTTGCAGGCTGATAGAACCCAGGAACTCGGATCATTCCTATCACTAGTCCTTCATTTAGAACATGGAGGCGTGAAGGGCTGTATCTTATGCCAACCTTGTTTGGATTTTGGGCATTCAGGGTCAGAGAAACAACTGATGAGACAAACAACGTTGAGCCTGAATAGACATCAAGTTTATATGAATCCAGGTTAACAGCTTGGAGAGAGAAAATGGGCTTTCGAGGCTTCAAGATGAAGATAATAATCAATGTAGCCAACCCCAACACGACCAATGTGAACAGAAGGTACCCAAGGAAGAAGCAACAGCACATCCCAAAGGAATACGCATGGCGGAATTCTTGGCAGAGAAAACAAATTGAGTTTCTTTCTCGCAAAGCCATGGAAGCCCTGCATTTTGGAGATGAACAAAGCTAAGATAAAATGTTTATGTGCCTCTTGATTCACAAATAAATGAAGCTAGCTACTTCCTCCTGCTGGAGGAATGTGATTTTTTTCTTCCGACTTGATCTTTCTACTATTATTCCTTTCTTGGAGTGAAGATGAAGTACTTCTAGAATTGTGAAAGAGCAACTTTGTGGGTAAAGAATGACTTCATATCACTCATTCTACTTTCTAAGTTCGTTAATTTTAATACCAACACCAGATGAAGAGCTTTTCTATGAATCTGTAATTGGCATGCACGAACTAACCATGGGTCAACATAATGGGATTGGTCTGGTAATCTGGCTGATTTTTCACAAATTCAACGATTAATTTAGCATTTAACTTGAGGAAGTGGTGTTAATCATGACATAAGAATGTGAATACCGGCTAGCTAATCCAATTTTTTGGCCTGAGGAAGTTGAAAAAATCAGATGTGTGTTGGCATCACGACTGAAAGGTGGAATACTGGGCTAACTAATTCGAGTTTTTGGCCTGAGGAAGCTGAGAACAACATAAGTATGCCCTTGGGATGGCATCTCAACCTGGAATAACTTATTTGGGATTATAATGATGATAGAAAGATTATTGGTCATAGTGCCTATAGGGTGATCAATATTACAACAGATTATTTGAACCCATTCTGATGGTTAGACTAGAAAATCAACACTGGTGGTAGTGGAAACGAGATTTCAAGTACTTGGCATCAGATACCTGTGCTACCGTTAATCCAACTTTGCGTCGGTTTACTCTTTCGAACATGATGTCTGTGCTGAACATATAATCGATGAAACAAATCATTCTATAGCTAGAGTTGCAAAAGAAGTTAACCCCACTGTACAATGTAAGGCACCCTTGTGACAGCATCTGCTCAAATTTACAGTGGAGAACTTGATGGTTAAACAAAGTGCAATCCACTGTCATCAGCTCCATGAATAATGGAGCTCTCTGCTCTCTACTCCCATGGCCATAGGCAAAGAGTGATGCCAAGGAACTGCCCTATATTGGCGACATGCACGAGACAAAGGACTTCGCTGCATTCAATCTGTTCAATTTTGACCATCAAGAGGATGAGGGAGGTTAGATGTCAATTGAATCAATCAGTGAATGATTGAGGCTTGTGCAATGACGGGTCGTGCCCCAATATTCTTGGACATGACGATGCCAAAACGAAGGCCGAGTCCAGGGTGGCTCCAATTAAAGTAGCCATCCATGGTTGACTATATATTTGCTGTATTAATGGAATCTAGACGCCTGTAGAAATCCTCTCCATGGTCAATCAATGAAAGCCAACCCAAATTCCACCCATACTCAAACCACTTTTCGCATACCAACCCACCAACCCAAATTCCACCCATACTCAAACCACTTTTCGCATACCAACCCACCCTTCATCATCGAAGTGGTAGCCTCTTCGAGAAATGCTTTTTCACGTCACAAAATTTCTCTCCATCTTCTGTAACTTGTTCCTGGAGTACACCTGTGACCAGTCATTGGCTCACGTTGGCAGAGGTTACTCCAAACTCCACCCGAATAATCAGACCATCCTAAATAATATCTTGGAGTTCATAACATCAAGAGGCAGTGTATTTAATTATTTATACCAAAATCAAAGCCTGTCAATATCTCGGCTTGGCATTCCGTTTTCCATTTGCGTTTCACTTTCCAGTGTCTTGTTTTTCTAGGTACAATTTTGTTGCTGTCTCATACAAAATTAGAGAACCTAAAAGAGAATGTGTGATAGCGTTATTAAGGAATCCCAGATAATTATTTCCCAAATCCTGGAGTTATAAAGCTCGATCGATGGTATTCCAGCATCTAACCTGGACATTAAATTTTATAAAAGAACTATCTCTCTCAAATTCCACCATGATTTAACGTTAAGATAATATACCCCATAGTAGTCTACTCACAACAATGAACCAGTTCCAAGAAAATAAATAGACCCGTTGCACATTTCAAATTGCAGTGCTCAAATTTGCAACACACATAGAAGTTAAGCTGGTTGCATCAACTTTTGCATCTTACATGCCCAGTAACCATCCACATCCTAATAAAGACCAGTTGATAAAAATGCAAGCCACCAGGTATATGCATTGAGAGAATGGTGTTAATTTCATTTAAAAGTATATATGGGATGGGCTCTCTTAACAATTCCTCATCTGCCATACGGAGATGCATAAAGCCCCCGAAACTACCAGATTAGCAAACACACCGCCTAACGGCCAAGAAACTAAGCCATGGAGCTTCTCAAAATGAAAAAAGCAAATTAAACCAAGAACCAATAACCCATTAAAAGGGAGTCAAGACGAAAAGCAAAGTTTTTATTATCAACCTTTCAGTTCTCATCACATGTCATCAACCATACAGACACCAAACATGAAAATTTAAATTCAACGTCACGAGGTCAAATAAACCTAATTACCTATGTACTCCTCATACAACTAGTCCAATTGAGATCATCATCCAAGCTAAGCATGCTTTAACTGTTTGTCTACCATCTCAACCACCAATAACAAACACCCTGAAAGAACCATAGAGAAAAATAAACATCATCCTTTTTCATAGAAGATATAGCACCAATCAAAATCGGAACAAATGCAGACAAACAAATATTTCATGGAAGAAGCTACTACCAGGGCAAAAATTACGGACATGCAGCTTTATTTACAGCAAGCAAGCAAGTGGACTCAAGGATGCTCAGAAAACTCCCCCCAACACGGGAGGAAAGTCACCAAACATCCAAAGATCCACCGGGTTCCCACCATCCTGAGTTGTGCTGTCATTGAGGAAAGTGTCCACGGAAGCATCCCAGTTCCCTTCAAAATCAGGGATCTCGAAGAACTTCATCTGGGACTCAAATGCAGAGAGCTCTTCAGACAGACTATTCACAGTGCTTTCTTCACCAGACACCAAGTCCACAGAGTTGGACTCCAATTTCTTTGTAGGATTAGAATCGTCCACCAGTTGAGCTTCATCAACTTCTACTGTGGCTGTGAGAACGGATGATATTTCTGGAGCCTTGGAGCAATGGTCTCCCCACCCAAAGTCAGAATAATCAAAAGAGTTACTTCCCTTATCTGAATTGAAGTACAGAGACATGCCATCTGAAGGATCAAATGATTTGAGCCCCACCTCTCCAGTGACTGGGTAACTGTCTGCATAACCATACTGCTCAGTACGTGGTTTCTCATCCACAAAACCCAAAGAACTGTAGCAATCCTGATCCAAGTTATTCATTGAATTGCAATTCTGTTTGAGACTGACTTGAGCACAGTTCAGGCCCTCCTTGGGGCGTATTTTCTGTGTGTTTACCTTAACAGTGTGATTTGAGACAGTTGGCGGAGTTTGAACAGGGAAATTCACCTTCGCTTTCTTTCCCCGGATCCTCCGAGCCTCAGAGTCATAAGCTCTTGCAGCCTCTTCAGCAGTATTGAAAGTTCCGAGCCACACTCGGACTCCTTTCCTCGGATCACGGATCTCAGCAGCCCATTTGCCCCATGGGCGCTGCCGGATCCCTCTGTATTGATTTTTCCTCTTTCTCTTGCAAGATTTCTCAGCTTGCTCATTCGATTCCACAGATATAGATTTACAGCCTTAATTAAGAAAAAAAAATAACAGAGGTCAGACTCATGGTTACACAGATAGAATAAATACAGAAAAAGGAGCAAAAAAACCTGTCACCATAAGTGTAAAACATAAATAAATAAATAAAAAATCAAAATTTTAATTGTGAAACCTAATAATTGACACCTGATAAAAAAAAACTTTCAGAAATAATAAGAATGATTAGGGGACTTTGCATCATTCATTAAACCGATCTTTAAATCTGATCAAAATCCATTCCTACCAGCCCTGACTGATGAACTAAAAGAATAAGCTTCAGTCAGATCAGAGAGAAAGAGAGAGCTTCGATGCAATCAATATTTATTTCAAAACCAATAAACCATGATGCAAAAATAACAACTGATCAAATGGCAAAAAGCAACTAAATTCAGTAAATCAGATCAAATAGCCAAAAAGCCATTAAATCGAGTAAAACAAAAGTCCTAATAAGGAAAAACAAAAATCAACCAAACATTAACGCCCATCCTTCACAAGATTTTATTTGTTCATTTTTCAACACAGACAAATTCAAAGCTTAAACGCCATTACCAAATAATATATCATTATAAAAAAATATCCATAATAAACTAAAAAAAAATTCAAATTTTTTAGAAACCAGTTCCGGCACAATAATATTTAAGCAAAAAAAACCATGCTATTTCCAACTGAAATCCGTTTTAGGAAAAAAAATTATTCTTCAGGGGTAAAAAGACAACTATTTTCCCTGAGTTAATTAAAGTAACGCCATAAACATCAACAAGCTAATTTCAACGGAAAAATCAAATTTCATGAATTCACTAAAAAATATCACTGCCAAAGACAAAAGAACTACAAAATTATTTGACGAATTAATTTACGTCAAACTAAGTCGTCCAAGGGAGAAGTCTCTAGTAATTATATTTCCTTCAATAGATGAAGCATAGAGAGGTGCGAAATATCAGTAATCAATTATATTCCAAGCTCTTTGTCCAAAAAAAAAAAAGAAATTATATTCCAAGCTCAAAGAAAAAGACGGTGAATCACATAGCACAACGAGAAATAAGAGAAAATACAGGTCAAAAGTACAACACAATCCCTATTTATGCCAGAAATCAACAAAGCAAACGACTGGAAAAGCGCACGGACCATGAAACTCAAAAAAATAATACATGCTCAAACTTCAACCCCAAAAATGAAAAAATAACGGCAACAGGTGAATGAGATGAGAAATAGTTACCATGCGAAAGCCTAGAATGTTTGGAAGCAGAGGATGCAAAAGGTTTAACATCATCGGAGTAGTCGTTGAATTCAAGAAAATCGGCCCCGAAATCATCGTCGAGGTCAATGATCTTAGATCGCAAAGGCTTAGAGTAGTAA